ATGATGTGATTAGCGAAATGCGTGCGCAACGTTTACACTTCGTTTCTGGTAATGTCGAAATTAACCTTTTGACATTTAATGAAATAAAGTAAATAGACATATACGACATTTATGTCACCGGCAGGTTCTCCCCAAAGCCGTGTAAAATAGTCGAATGACGTGCAATAGTTGTGAGCTGGGCTTTGGGCTTTGTTTCATTCACATTGTTGTATATGGATCCCTCGCTGTGTTGGCCAGACGGGAACTAGAAAGCGATGCAATCATGCTATGGGTATTGTTACTGGTCGCCGACGGACCAGTAGTAATACAAAAACTTGTTAATGTGAATGCAGATTTCACAGTTGGTTAATGTACATGAAATATATACGTTTTCGACACAATACATGCGCTGCTTAATTTCGGTACCCACCCTGCATATCTGCAAGTGAATGCTAAGAAAACTAACAACTATCGAACCAATTCATTTGTCGTAAAATGCAGTTTGTTTTAAACTTTTACAGTCTTTCATGTCAGCCGATATTTCGAGAGAGGGAAAAAACACCAGATAGCATGACACAGGCAGCTGAGCCAAGGAAGGCATCGTCGTTCGTAGGAGGCTGTGCAGTGCGGTACGGCACACGCGGCGTGACTTCATATGTTTACCTTGTTCTCAAGCGCGCGAGTGCGTTGGCGTTTTGGTGACAAACATCTGCGAAACAGGGTATCTAGTTGGTGAAATGAAATCGTTTCACTGCTTTATTATTTATCCATAGACGTCTTATTTCGTTCAGAAATTAGGCTGCGTACATAAAAATTTAATATTCATATATTTGGTATTAATAAATGCGTTTGTTAGCAAAGAAACAACTATAAATGATGTGTGAATGGCGGACGATGGAGAAGAAAAGGCGAACAAGACGAGAAGAAACAGAGTACAGATGAATATAAAGAATAGTTAAAATATGATCATAAGCAGTACGGAGGTAATGATAAGATGGTGCATAAGATAAGAAGGAAAATAATGCAAGAAAAAAAAATAAAAATCGCTAATTTAAGGACGATGAACAGAAGAATAAGAAGAGGAGGGAAAGGATGATGATCAAGAAGTAATCAAAAATATGCACGAAAAATGGGAGAGCGAAAAGCAAAGAGAAATAGAACCCAGTGAAGAGAAGAAGACTAGGCTGACAACGGAAAATAAAGAAAAAAAGGAAGAAAAAAAATGTATTTGAATTAGTACCGTGAAAAGGAAATCCTCATTTCGTGCTTAATTTGGTATAAAACGATTTTTGAGCTGATGTTACGGTAAAAGCTTACATTCCGAAGCAAAATTCGTGGTCGACAAAAAGCAGCTGCTCGTCACTTCTACAAAGCGTTGGCTTCTCAATTTTTTCAACATTGCTTCGTCAACATCTAAGATGTTTTTGTCACATAGTTTCGTCACTCGGGAAAGGATGTTTAACCACCTGAAAACCGGCGTTGGTTAAGGTAGGCGGTTGGTTGGTTTGTTCATTTGAAAATTTAAGGAGTAGCTGAGTGATTGAACGTGAATGAATAATGCAAATGCTCTTTGGCATGTAGGAGAACGACTAGAAAGTGAATGTACGTTCGTCGTCGCTGAACCACGTTGAGAACCACATCATGCGCAATGTTCAATATCTTATATGGTCCCGTGTTGTAATTTGAACGCGTCCAGCGGGTTTCCATCATCTGAAGTTGACCCTGACAACTGCCGAAGGACCGATACCTATTTCAGAATCTCTATGAATTGGCTAGAAACGGTTAGCTTGATTTGAAGATGGACAGTCACCTTTCAAATTTATTGTTCATAGATATAGTTCATTTTATATAATGACCATTTTAAGGGTGATATAACTGAAAGCTGTAATGATATTACAAATTTGCTAAGCAATATTGTAACTGTTTAGTGAATGGTTGTGATTTTAACCGTAAAATTTGATTATATTATATGTTCGTTAAGACCTAGTGTTAATCTACCACTCACTGTAAATAGACATAGTCTTGTACTTGTAAGGCTAATCGGCGCCTGCCGTGTCACTTGTGCTTTAACAATGCTAACCCGTTTTCTAGCAAAACGCATGGGCAGTAAATTATTAATATCTACCTTGATTCATACTTTCAACCGTAAATCGGCAAACCGTATATCATTTCATCCTTGGGGCTCAGAATGGAAAATTTTGACATATTTACGAATGCTTTGTTTCCATAAATGTTGTTTTGAATTATAATGAATCAGTGTACCGTACGTTATTTTAGTTTCGCCTTAGACTTGCATGAAAGTTTTTGAGCAAAAGACAATAAAAAAACAAGATGAATGTATATATCACAAAACAGAATTGCAGTTGTATGTTTAGGTCTAAAGATAAATAACGAGCAAAGGAATCACCGGTAATATGCACAAAATCAAGGAGCAAAGATAACTGAGAAAAACTGGAAGAAGACCGTGCTACATTGAGCAAGCTCACATACTGTTGTTTGCCACATTTAAATCGACAAACATTGCGTGAGTTTCTCATAAAATGAGTGAGTACTATTATCCAAGAAACTCTGACCCACGAGAGTGCCATAAAGCGCTAAATCAATCAAGTGCCTCAAGAGATCATTGTGTGAAGGACCATTTATTCTGGAGACATGTTTCGGTGATCGCCTTAGCACGTTGAAGTCGTCTGTCGATACACCTGGAAGGATGACTCCTGATGCATATGCATCAAGTTCTAGAATACCTGTTACGAAAAGGTAAATCTTCTAATGATATCGTTCGAAAAAAATAGGACGCCGCCTCTCTTCCAACCAGAATCTTCACTGGTCAACTCAGCTGCGTCTGTGCTTTGTTGACAAAAATTTGACGTGCTTGAAATTAAGTGTCTATTAATTTACTGTTATTTTGTTATCGATTCTTAACTGCTGTATTTTTCTGTTTTAGAACAATTTTAAATGTAACCCTGGGAACAGTCTGTCCAGTGGAACCGGCGAGCGGTCGAGCCGCAGCGT